TATTTCGTAGCTTTATCGATTTCATTGGATTGATGTTGGGGTTTTTGAGAATTTTTGTTGTTGACTTTTTTGTGTTATTTTACGAATTGATGCTTTTTTTGTTGCCATGGCTGTTTAGCCGGATTTGCAAGTCCGAACATACTCTTCGTAAACACCGTTTTGAAGTGAGTTCTAAGTTGGTGACTCAATATTTTAAGAAAATTTCTATTTATGCGTTGAGCTACGAATGCTGGCAGGCGATCAAAATACATCTTCATGGGGTCGTGCTCGCATAAACTGGGTGATCTTGGCAGCAAGCTTGCATAAGTCCGTAGTTAGTGTTAGAAATTGGCATGACTTTAAATCTGACCGCTTTCAGTTCTCTCGTTTCCTCCCTCCGAACATTCTCACCTGGTACAGCTTATTTGCCAAGTTTGCTTTAGTTAGAAAAGCGCTTTCTCGGTGGAGTAAAAAAATAAAAAAGTATTTTTAAATTTGTATCGATAATAAAGGGGTCGCATATCAGTGAGCGGTATCCTGGGCAGAGTAAACCTCGCTCAGATGGCCTTAAAAAAAGTGGCAAACATATATCGTTTAGACCCCAGGTGCAGCTGGAGACGTGCATCTCTGGACGGAAAGTCTGGCCAAGCTGTGACAGGCATTTGAGTACCCAACAACATCACTAAAATTGGAATCCTTCACCTGCTGTTCGGGCAGGCTCGGTCTCGGAGTGCTGATTTGTTGTTTCAGAGTGCCAATTCTAAGTTAAAATTCTGTGTCAGTTTCGCTTGTGATCATCTCGTGACTCTTTTCAGATAGACATAATAATATGTAAAAACTGTGGCTCAACGCTGTGTAGGATGGAGCATATGATCAGTGTATCAACAGAGGGAATCAGCGCTCATTACGTTAATCCTGGTCTCGTTTTCATTATTCTTGTAATTTTTATACTTATTTTCCTTGCCAACAATCGGTGGGTGCCGCATGTTATTGAGTGGTACCTACAAGGAAGCAAAAAGCGACACCGAAGGAGATGGCGCACATACATCGAATAGACGGTAGGTACCCAATAGTATGCTGCCTTGGATTGAAGGGCCTTGCACAGCTACGTTCGACGTACAGGAATCCGCTTTACTCATACTGATAGCTTGAGCAGTCCCAGTTTCCGTGATATAGGATATAATTTAGAAACTAAAACAGCTTCATCAGAATAAATTTGGAAATTTAGGAATGAAATATTGCATTATTTGCACATTTCTTGTGATTTTAGCTGGTTATGTGCACGATTTGTTTACTGTCTCAGAGGTAACTTCAACGACAGCGCGTGGCCAACCTTCAGCCGAATATTCATGGTTTCCTGGGTTTGTGTTTCTCCACAACTTAAATTGGTTAAAGATGTGTTTGACGCCAAGGGAAAAGATTTCGAGTTTTTTTAGTCCGGAATTTATATGCCTAAATCACATCATTATTTTTATGTAGTTGTTGAAAATTTCTGCAGCTATAAATGGACAATCCATGAATGTGCAAACTGCGGACAGCATGTTGGCTGGCGATTCACCAGTTCAAAGCTATTGCCAGCCTCGTTTTTCGGATTAACTCGAAGCGCAATCCGCCCGGCCGACTCGCGACATCCGGTCGCATCAAATGTTCAGCGCATTGAACAGCTAGCTATTGTATAGAAATGAGCTGCTGTTCATGTTGAGCTTTACCGAGACAGTTTTGTTGACCGGGTTAGCAGTGCAGCCACGCAAGTCCTGGCAATCTTAAATGGAGGCGAAGCCAGCGAGACGATTCTGTGCTCTTTTAATGTTCTGTTTAGTGATGTGCTCTATTTTCGTGATAATTGGCTTTCCTTCGACAGTCAGACAGATTTGAAGCAGATGAAATCTTAAAAATTTTCGTACCCTATGTTTTGTTCTGAACGCATTCAAATAAGCTTTGCTGTATTCAGCGATCACAGGCGCTTGATGTAAACAGACTTCCCGCTAAGTGCTTTCGGGACTTTCTGTAACTGTAACTTTGAGGAAGTGGAAATTCAGGTAATCCCGCACTTGGCATTTTCACTTTTTCCCTCCCCATACGGTTCGTGTGACAACGTGCTTATCTGTGAGCATCGAATTGGTATCGTTTTGTTTTTCAATGCTGTAGATTTTGTTGCTGTTTAGAAAGGTATAATCACCTGAGAGCTGCTTAATGTACAGTTGTATTTGATTGGTGACAGCGTCACTACCACAGCTTTCTCTATAATAACGTACAATTTTATTTAAGAATAAATCGAACATTCATTTCGTGGTTGCCCACTACATCTTAAAAAGTACAGGGATTGTTTGGGTCCAGTCGAAAAAATGTGTTGCATCAGTGCTTAATCCAGTTGGGAAAGTTTGAAATTTAGCCCGGGTTTCCTCGCTAGTACTGAATTGTGCAGAAAATCGGGGAAAGAGGCTCAGAACGGATAAAAATCTAACAATTTGGCCACCAAACGTCAGCTTCCCGTAATTGTAAGCTAGATATGCCATTAACGCGGAGGATAACTCGTTGTGGGACGACTAAAAGTGCGGATGCGGCTCAGCTGGTAATTTCTTGAAGAGGCAAAACGAACATCAGAACCACAGGATGGGACAGGGGGTAGCACTGGCTGAAGCAACTGGAACAACTGCCAACTGTGCAGATGCAAATCTGACTACGAATAGGAGTAGGTGAAATATTCACAGCGAGGGAACAAGCTCTCACGAGGATATATGTTCATTTATTTGGATATATTCTAGGTATATATATACAGTGTAATTACAACTGAACAATGAAATGATGACTCTCTTCATAATAGCACTCTATTATGCTTGAGAAAATGAAAAAATATTTCGGCGAGATAGGGTTTTGCACAAAAGTAAGGCACCTCATTTCACTGAATATTTCATTTTAGGAAGGGAAGGCACAATTCGCCTCTTCAGGTGGTTTTCAAAGCAAAGGCTGTGTAACCTCAAATAATTTAAGAAACCTTGGGATTGTGATCTGGGCGTTTTTCTTGGGGCCATGTAAGCTTAGCAGGTTTATGAAAGCCTTGTAAGCACCGAAATATATTGGCTGTAAAATAAAACATGAAAACGCAGTCCCATTAAACATGCCTTCCAGAAATGGCCTCGATAACGACAAAAAAAAAGCCGGGAAAACTTCTAGTAACATATTTCTCCTAAAGTATGGGATTAATATTTGCGAAGATGAGAAGGAAGAAT